GCGGATGAAGGCTACTGACCGGTCGCCAGCTTTTAGGGATCGTGAGGTCACACGACTGCTTTGGCACCGGCGTGATATACGATACTTTCCAAGTCTCTGGGAATTTGCGATCAGAAAGACAACAGTTAAATAAAATTTTTAACGGTGCTATTAAAGCAAAACCACAAATTTTAATTAACTCGTTGGTAAATTCAAACGGCCCACTGGTTTTTGAAAGATCAACCAATTTTAAGGCTTCCCAGATGTCTGTTTCGTTAATAAAGTTTTCCACACTGATGGGTGTCGTACAGACTGTACATGTCACTACGCTATCTGAACAATGTGACATACACGAAATAAGTGCACTTGAATAATGGGCATTTAGCGCTTCAGCTTTTTCTTCGTCTGTGCTTGCAATCTGGTTACCACATCGCAGAATTGGCATGCCCTGCTTGTCAACACTCTTACGTACATACGACCAAAACTTTTTTGGGTTTTGTCGGGAGGCTGTTGCGATATCCTGTAGCTTACGATTCATAAAATTTCGCATCAATGAGTCGCACGTTTTTGAGTAGCTTTTCCAGACACCTCTTAATCTGTTCTTGCAATCTTCATTCGTAGCTTTTACATAGCGCCTGTGCGCGGTATCACGCCTTCTGATAGCGCGCTTGAGCGAAAGGGGGAAAGAACATGAAAATCGTTTTGGCTTTAGCCTTACTCTATTAAAAAAGTGGAGAGCTTTACTGATTATTTCATCTTCAATTAAAAGGGTCATTTCAGTACAATTTTTATCCCTTAAAATGACTTTCCAATCTATCTCAAAAAGAGCACTTCGAAAGGGCATAATTTTTTCGGGTAGAGACTTCCATACAATTTTCTGGGGCTCGACTGATTTAATTTTTGGAAGGCAAAGGACTACAGATAGTCCGTCGTGGTCATTCGTACTTGCTGGTGGGCTGATTACATTAACTGAATCAATGTACCATTTAGTAGGTACAATTATCAAGTCAAGAATGTTGCTTTTCCGCGTTGGGAGCGTAACTATTTGTTTTAGGTTGAACTCTTTTAAAAATTGCAGTAAACATTGCTCGTACGCAGTATTCGATTTTAAAGAATGCCAATTTATTTTAGGGCAGTTAAAATCACCCATTAATAGAAACCGCTGTGAATCATTTTCACTTAAAATTCTGCTGAGATGGTTTAGAAACTTGGGTAAAACTTCTGAAATCTCGTCGGGGGCGCCATAGAACACACCGGCAATAATATTAACAGCGCTAATTTCGACAGCAACAAATTCAAATTCGACTCTTTCAAGGTCAGATCGTCTTTTACCAGCGAGATGCTTTTTAACTACTAACGCAATTCCTCCGCCTGTTCTACCGACACGTGCGCGACGAAAAACGTTAAAAGACCTACCATCTGGAAACAACTTGTCTGGCAGGTCTGTCCTCAGTTTCAGTCAGTCCTATTAAATCATTCCCTGAACAAAACGTTTTTACTTCGTCAGATTTCGAAGATTCCCATTAATATTACATAATTTTATGGTTAAATGAGAAGACGAATGTTTTCTCGGCTTGACTTTCACTAAAGATTTCTTTCGATTTAGTTTAAATGATTCTTATTTAATGCGCTCGTTTTCTTTTGAAAATATTTCCACTGTTTGACGATAATATTGCTTGGCCAGATTTCAGAGTTCAACATAATGTTTTCACAGTCTGAGTACGTACCAACGCGAGCAAACGTTGTGCCTCTCAGATCGTCTGGTGCTCTGGTTCGAACATCTACAAACCTGACTTTTACATTCTTTCTTTCCAAAAAAGATCGCAAGCATTCAGTAGTACAGTCCCTTGGTAACCCGCGCACACAGAAGTCTCGGTGTGGAACCGACTTTAAAGCCAAAGAATTCGCAAGCGGGTCTTCGCTGTTATTACTGCCTGTGCCTCGCACACTCTTCACCACAATCCTCTTGCTAACTGTACCGCTGTTTGCTCTCACCTGGTTATCAGCCCGAACGCTTGCGTTCCAAAATTCACGTCCACTGCTAGCCAAGCTTGCGTAGTTTCGCCTCCTGTAAGCTGGTTGCGTAGACCAGCCATTGTATCCGGGTTCGCCGCCATCTTGGATTTCGATGATATCGGGTTCTTCGGTGCGTAGGTCTCCACTGGTTTTCAGTTCCTTGACGTCGTCTTGGAGTTTTCCATGGGCTTCACGCAGAGACTCGATATTAGTGTTTATGGCCCCAACGGTTTCTTTCAGTTCCACATCTACTTCGTCAATTCGTTCGCGTACCGCTCCATCAGACTGTAGAAGATCCGCATCGGCATTTGACCGCATTTGACGCTCTTCTTTCAGGTCCTCCTTCAGTTTAGCATTTTCGTCTTCCAGCGCCTTCACACGTTCAGACAGTTTCATATGTTCCTTGGATACAAGGCGTATCAGTGGAATAACAAGTGCGAATACTTCCTTGTTCCCTTTGGTAGGTGCGTAAGCTGCAGAGTTTTCATGCTCCCCCAATTTCGCGAGCAATTCAGCCAAAGATTCCTGCTTCGCCGGGGATCTTGACGAAGATTTTGCTGCCGAGCTCGTCATCTTGAACATAAAATTAGTAAATGATGTTTCTTATCAACGAGGCAGATCCCCAGAACACATTTTCCATAGCATCTTGATCGCCTCCCATAAATATCGGTGCTCCGGATTCCGCAAATTGTGTGAAAGAGTTCTTAAGTGCTGCACGTCAAACCAGCGAACATAAGATTTTAATAAGTGTAAAATTCGTACGATACAACGATTACACGATGAATTCTCATCGTGTAATCGTTGTATGTAATGTTATCATTTAATAAATAAAATATCTTACACAGGTGAAAGACATTCTGGATACATTGGGATTGATGGAATGCGCCGATACCGAAACGTCAAAATTGTCCGGCGGACAACGAAAACGTTTGGCAATTGCTCAAGAATTAGTGAATAATCCTCCGGTGATGTTCTTCGACGAACCGACTAGGTAATTAATGCATTGCGAGTTTTTTTAAAATGTACAAGCAAATAAAGTGCAGTGCACATGTTGGAATGTGTTGCAACAATAAAATATAATAACGATTAACGAAGTATGTACGTACATACGGGTATCGGATTGTCTGTTAGCACTAGTGTGTACTATATTTATATGTACGGAATTTTAATAAAACGATACCACTAAAAGGCTTTCGAATGTACAAATAGACGTCCTCCAGATGAGTTTAAGGAATGATTCTTCGCAGCTGGCTCCATAACCTCGAATAGATGCAATAAATTCGGGGATTCCTGTTGAAAGAACAACCTTTACCCAGAAGCGTGCACGAACGTACGTACGGAAGAAGGCCTCTCACTCCTGCATACGCCGGCACTGTCGGCATACAATTTTCCGTAGGCAGTTGCAATGATAAAGTGCCAGCGAAAATTGAAATTTCTACGATCCGTTGTAAAAAACCTCTGGCATAATTTCATGTGAGACAAAAGGGCAGAACCATATGTTCATGTAGAAGAGTACCTGGTCGGTATCTAATGCCAGCGGGACTGCAAATCGTCGCCACGATAACGGAAAAAGTCACAAAGTTATGATACCGGTATTTACAGACAACGCTGTCAACAGTCTCCGGTCTGCTGCACGAAATCACTGCCTGGAACGAGCAAGACAGAACATATTACTAATCCAGACATAGGTGCCATCTAATTCCCAGCTATAAACTTAGATCAGGAAATCTGAGCATTCTGTTAAGGCAATCTGGAAACTTTGAAAATGCAGCACACACCGGAAAACGTCCAAGAGTTCTTTTGTGCATTTATAAAGAGCCCTTAAACGAGCTTGCATTTCACTACACGCGTCGCATAATTAATAAACGCCGTTGTAATGACGTAAATTTGCAATTGCGGCACCAAGAAATAGGATATGTACAGGGATAGCCCATGAAAGAATAACTCGCAGACTGTTGCACGTAATAAGCACGGTGCAAAATATCCATCAACGTCCCATTTTGCTAGTACAGATCATTCGGGTATGTTTAGCAGAAGAAAAACTCCCATAAACAGTTACCACGAAAGTCGAACCGAAAAAAAAGCCGGTTAAACTGCTGCAGAAAATAATACGAGAAAAAAAATCGTTTAATGCAGAAAATAATCGAATCATGCGTTGACTTGATGTGCAATTCCTTTTCAAGTTTGCAGTAGCATCTACCGCTCTGGATTTTCCATCTTCTTTTATATTACCTGTTTATTCCAGTTGATTGTGTAACGTTTTAATTTACTTCATTAACACCGCTATGCGGTTTTCGATATGCGGTTTTTCTTACGGCGCGTCGTGCACGCCGATGGATATGACTGGCTGCTGGAAGAAGCGCTGCTTTGACGTCAACGAGTGCGCCGAGAATAACGCCGGCTGCGGCCAGATCTGCATCAACACACTGGGATCGTATCACTACGAATGCAACGACGGCTACCCTTATTTTGTTTTCTCTCAACGGCACTATTGCATATTAAGATTAAATGAAAGATACCAGTGCTGGTGTGCAGTTGCAGAGCCCCAGCCACGCCACCCGCGATGTAGGCCACTTCCGATTAGGGCTGATGTCCGTGACTTGCGCGTTATGGCTGTTAGCATCGTGGACATGGTTGATAACTTTTGTCGCTCAAATGTTTTGGACAACAACTGTTTTTCGAATACTAAAACGTATTCTGTCTGGAATATGGTTAGCTCTGCCAAAATCAATAGAAAGGCCATCGTTATTTGAGTACTAGTACAGGGAAGTGCGCACTGATGATGGACGGGCACGTGACGGGCATCGTGAGTCGAAGAGCACGGAGAGGGCTGTTTCAAATTACTTTCACTGCGAAAACGACGGGCGCTGGCGATCGAGAGCGAAGAATCGCATGCTGCTGCATCCCGTTTCCGTTTGGTCAGCATCAGTAATCAAACAACCACCAATGCGATTACACCGATTGACAGGCTGGACAAAGTTTACATGGGGTTAAAATTTGCGTTCTTTTTTATAACTTGTGGTACTCTAACCAGAGTAAACCAAATGCATTTACTTTTCATCATTTGATACTTTGTATCGGAAGCTTCAATTATGCAAGTCGATGCACAAGGACGCATGATGCTAAACGCCGTTTGAGACTTTAAGCGGTTATATCTGAAAAGATGTCAATATACTGCTTAACGGAAACCGTGATTGCAGGTGTATACCACAAAATACTGTATGCAGCCAGCCAGGCTGCAAACTGTTCGTTATCCTTGAGCGGCAGATTGACAGTCAACCATCCTGCGTGGCCTTCGGTATCGTAAACCTCTATCGTAACGGCGGGGTTGCCTCCAGAATGCCTACCGCCGCAGATGTATATCCGATCTTTGACAACACAAGCAGCATGCCGCCATCTGGGCTGATGAAGTGGTTCAATCTTTTCCCAAGTTGTACTACCCAGTCTCAAACGAATACAGTCAGCTGTTGCAGTAAAGTGACGGGCAGTAAAGCTGTTGCAGTAAAGCTTTGCGTCGTCTAAAAGCTCTCCGCCCAAAATGTATATGTGTCCGCTGACCACAGCCATTGCAAAATCAGCGCGCCGTTGTTGCCGATCTGGTAAGTACATCCATTCCTTGATCACCGTGTCATACTGGAAGAGGCTCATCTCATTAGCATAAAATAACTGCTCACGGCATTTGGCCACCGCTTGTAGAAAGGTATCAGGGCTATGAAATATAAAAAGCTAGAATCGTTTGATACCAAGACTGCAATGTATGCTGCCCCAACAAAAAAGGCATACCGTTGATTTGGTTGAGTTGAAGGTGCAATTTCGCCTGTAGAAATGTTAATTTCTAGAAAGATTCCGGTATCGTCAAAGAAATAAGCCTTGTCCTCTACCGCAGTCACCAATGCATACGGATCTAAAACTGGCTGGTGGTGACCTCATGTTTCGACATTCCACAAATGGAATTTCTCCTTGTAGACGTCACCGTGATGTATCAATTCCGTAAATACAATTCTGTTGCCTGTTACCGCTAGCGCGCAACACAGATACCCCTCAAATTTTGGTGCGCCCAGCACCTCATGAACATTAACAGAGTTAGTCAACGGATCGAATATTATGACGCAGAGATCTTCAGACTGCCTGAGCCCAATAAATACTATGACGTCTTTTCTCGCTAGCCTTTGCAGTAATTTTCCGGCGGATAATCGGTTTGCGCTACTTGTATCCAAACACTGTCGAATGAGCCACGCTAAATTGTCCTCAATGTCGTTGCTCACAGATGGAACGTAACCGTCGATTATCAAGTGTGCATATTGGTAATCTGCAAGAGCGCTTCCCGCATCGACGACATTCCCATCCTTTACGAGCTTTTTCTTGGGCACGCGTGCATAGTTTTCGGCAATCTCCAGAATGATGCATCCCAGACTCCACATATCCGTTTTTCGTCCAGGTCGCTCTGCTTCTTGTTGTGAAAATTTTCGCAGCATTTCCGGCGCCATGTAGCGCGTTGTGCCACGTAACTGGGATAAGTCTGCAGAGCAGGTGGCGCTTTCTTTCATTTGCACCAGATCGTCTAAATCGCCAATCACCAGTTTCTCGCTGCCATTTTGCGAGACGCTCAGAAGTATATTTTCAGGCTTCAAATCGCCGTGAATAATGCTTTTTTGATGGAGGAATTCAAGGCCGTGGGTCATGTCCTCTGCGAATCGAATCACTTTTCCCCAGTTGTTCAAAAGCGTTGCGTTTTCCTTAGCTTCCCTTAAAAACGACGCCAGATCACCTACAATCATGGAATATAAACAAATAAATATGAAAATAGAGGATAAATATTATAAGAGCAGAGTGACTTCGACAAAAGCTGCTTATAATCCCTGTCACCTTTATGATAATCCATTGCCAGCTCCACTGTCACCCCGCCGGAAGATTTTGTGATGGAAACCTTGTGGTAGCGTACGATATGTTTGTGCTTCAGTCCAGGAAGCTGTCTCATTCTCTTTACAGCGGTCATCCAGTTTTCCTGATCGGCAGCAATTCCAGATTTAATTGCGACATGCATCACTTTGACGGCTACGAAATCTGGCTCGGGAGGAGTGCGAAATCGGAAAAGTGCTTTTCTGACTTTGGCTTTGTAAACTACTCCAAACGCTCCCCTCCCAATAAAGTCATCCTTAGTGTAGCGGTACTGTATACTGCTGCCAATTTCTTCGACAGCACCGGAATTGCGGAAGCCTATGCTTTCCATTTCCGTAGTTACCGGATTATATCAACTGATTCCCGCTTAACCCGATGCAGTTTTGCTGAGACGGCCGCCACTGAATCGCGCTTAACTGCTCACATTTTTGGGGATTTAAAACTACGCATGATGTTATGGAGTGACAATTTTCTGGTGTACGGAACCTTGTAAAACTGTAAAACTGAGTGCTGTTGTTACCAAAAGTAAAAGCAATTATGCACATTATTTACAATTAAATAATGTGCATAATATACAATTATGCACAATTAAAAGCAATTATTTGTTAAGGACGAAATACACTAGCACGAACACGGCTTAGTTTAGCATTCACTCGTTTTCACTGCGCTTTGAGTTTTGCACTCGCTTCGAGGCAGAGAGTGCTTGCGATTGTTGAGCTGTACACCGCGCCGATGATACTGATAGCGCAAACTGATAAGATAATGTCAATGTGATGAATTTTGCTGCTGATACTGAGTAATACTGCTGCTTCTGTAGCGGTAGCGGGAAAAGTTTATATTATTAATGTAACCCGAACTTGGCAAATGTGCACTGGCAGTACTGCAGTGTGTTCCGTTTTCTCCATTCGATGGAACGCTGCCAGATTCTGTATTCATCGGTTCGGAATTGTCTAGAGTTTTGACCGATTTGGTTTCTGATGAAAAACTTAGAGACTGTTTTTTTTATAAAACCTTCTTCGTCGTATACAGTGACAAGGGAACGAAGTGGTTTGTTCACATCGGCCGGAAATCGTTTGCGCGCGCAGCATCTCCTTGTGGACTCGACTGGACTGGACACTGGACAATTAAACTGGCCAAATGTGTGCGAAGTCGAGAGTTATACAAAGACAAATGACCACTGCCCAATTGCCACGTTAAACTTAATTGCCATGCAAATCAATTAATTATAACCGTCCGGTTTTCATCCATATGGCCGAAAACCGAAAACATATTGGCGGTCCATTTTGCCTCCGGTGGTCAGTCTCTGTAGTACACAGCCAGTGTGGCGGTTAATTTGCTCTGCTGTGCCAAATTAAACTACCGCAAATCGACATGTTCCCAGCGGGCCAGCGCTGTGGGATCCCATCGGGATGAGCATTGTTCAGACTGATTGAAAAGCAAACATCTGAAATGTGAAAAAAATACGTAAATACGTTGTATTGGTTGTACAGTGTACATGTCATACGCACATCTCCAAGAAGCGTCGTCAAGTCCCGGTCCGGCTGGCCGAGATATGCCAACCTCCGCATCTTTTCCCACACTCACGACGCAGCCGTCGGACAGCTGTGTAAGCGGCGGCCCTGAAGCGCCGGCACTGCTCCTTCGCCGACTGCGCATAACAGAAGCGCACGAGCGGATAGCCACGTCAAAACGCACGGCATCGTCGCCTTGCACGTCTGCTGTCATCTTGGTCACCCACACGGCGTTGGGATGCCAGTTGCGCTCGCGCCACAGTGAATCGACACCGGTCGACCCGGCACTGTCACCACTGTGTAGCGCAGGAGCAGTAGCTATTCACGCGCGGACATCCAGGGCGAGAGGTAACAGCATTGATAACGCACGGTCACTGAAGATCCACGACTGTTGACCCGGTCCAGTTAGCTGCATTACGGCCGTTCTACGGCGACAAGCGGCAGCTGCGGACGAGACCCGTGGTGTATCTTTCGCACCATTCGCAATCGGAAGCGCCGGTTGCGGTACATTCTCTTGCTCACACGGGCGGTTGGCTGGGCGAATTCACGAGGCGTCCGGAGATGCCCTGATCAAGGTGGTCCGCGGGCCGTTGGGACCGGCCATCCGCCTGGCCGCCGCCTGCTACCTCGACTTGTCCCGCGCTGAACGCAGGAGATTCAGTGATCCTGTCCCGGCAGGAACGCCGTTTCGGCATTGTCTTTATTTCAATTTGGCGATACAATACGGAATACAGTCGCAAGTTTATAAAAGTGAAAGAAGTGTACTGAATACACAGCCTCAGCCGTCTACGGATATAGGCGGCCTAATCACACAGAACATTTCGTCTAAGTTGGCCGATGCTGGTGCTGTTCCCATGACAGAGGCCGCGTTCCCGCGTTGGACGATGTTTCGGCATTGCCGTCAGGCGTCCAGCCCCGTCCGATGCGAGTTGCCTTCGCTCACTATTCTCCTTTTTTAAATTACTTTTCTGCAGACTATTTCTTGATATTGATTCGGTCATAATTCTCAGTGTTATTTAGTTTGGCTTTTGTATGCTTTTCTTGACATGTGTTTTAGAAGAACAGCTATAACAACAAGCCCGTTCAAAATGATCTTCCGTTGACTAGATTTCGTCGTCGTCGTGCCTCGTTGATTAACGTTTTAGCTGGTCCAGGCGCAGATATGCGGTGTTACCGTACATTTCAGACGTGAGGCCAACGATATCGAAGGGTGTTATGTTAGCGCAGCGAATTGGATTCCTGACGAGCAGTGGCACGGCGGTCCCGAGAAGATTTGGGATCACAATGCGATCGGCGTTCTGCTCTCTTGTGGTGTGTAATCACCAAGGTATCTGTATTTGTCCATACAAGGATGCCAAAGGCCAATTTATACGAAACTTATGGTTTATCAAAAAATATGACAAATGCGTATCAAATTTTGTATGGAAGATCTAAATGCACATCTGTGCCTGTGTGTATGCATCAGTTGTGGCTACCGAGTACAAACAAAAATTGAGGGTTTAACCGTAAAACGGTTGTGTGTGAAGAGTATTCATTAAATAACACCATCACTGACAATCACGTAAGACTCCAGCTGTCAAGGCCGTGATGCTGGAGGGACTGCAGTATTCTTCGAGCCACAAGGAGGTTGTAGCGGACAGCGCCTGGAAACTGGATGCATCCACGAGGTGGTTGTAGGTTTGGAAAAGCTGGTCCATCATTCTCTCAAACTACAAACAATCAAAACTTAATAGGGGCCCCATGTATCAACAAGCGTTTACTAACCACTTGAAATCTAATTTCATCCTGATTTGGTTGACCACTTGTGCTAGGGTGAATGTCCAGCTTTTCTGCAGCCGTTTCTTGACTTCTGAAATCGTAAGCGGGAAGTACTGAAGCATTACGAGATTAGCCAGTCATGAACGGTTAACCCTAACAGCGTGTGGACAGAAGCGTTCGCTTTGTTACCAGCATGTTCCGAATGCGGCATGGCGGGATAGTTTTTGTTCTCTTACGCTTTAATGATCTCTATGCCAGCCAGGGTTTGCCTCAGTCTTTGTAGTTCTCCGTTTTGCCCTTGTGTGACCCCCTCCAGAGTCTTTATAGTATTTATTGCTGTCAACACCAGATGCGCCACGTCAAGTGACTAAAGTGCTTTAAAGGACGTAAATTAATTCGGCTTCCTCGGCAAAGGCATACCTTCTTCTAAAATTTGTTTTCTTGTGACATCTCGCAACTCTGTTGCGCCATCATTGGGCACCACTTCGTTCTTTAAGTCCATAAAGGCAAGCTGAAACCAGATACAGCGGGTTGCTGCAGCAAGAAGACGAAGTAAATCAGTTCATCATGGAAAGAAACTTGAAAGTTCTGCATAATTTAAGTGCACGCAAGTCACTTGACGTCAATTTTGTAAAAGGGATGGCAAACATAAAGTATTTCCAAAAGACTGTAAGATCATGCGGTGCCAAGTTGCTGTTTAAGAATAAAAGTAAAATAACTAATGATAAGTAGATAAATGCCGAATAGTTAAAGGAAAGCAAACTGTGTTTGGTAACCACCTTGATCCTTTGAGGGCGGATTACTTCAGCGGCGTTCCCCTTTCTCCGTTTTGCGTGCAGCCAGTTCGCTTGGCTAACCGCAACCACAGCCTTCGATGTTCCTGTATCTTTGTCCTTGACAGGATATTGCACTGATTTTGTGCGACGCCGTCCCAAAATGGATGCCGTCCCGGACATGATAGTCCACTTGTCGTGCTTTGTGGTGGTCTAGATCTTTTAAAGATGCTCAATTAGCAGGTTTTCGGGTGCTTGCCAGACGAAAATCGGATCCTAGAAAAATACGACCACCTTAGCTTTGTGTTTCTCGTAAATCTGAATTACATGTAGTATTAAGTATATTGATATACGAGTAAGATATAATCGTAATACGAGTAATATTACCTGAACCAGATTATGATGGTATTCATACCAGCTACTCTTTAAAGATTTCGTCGAATGTCTACGAGTATTTATGGAAAAACTTCATCATCTGCGCGCGTAGTTCAGTAATTGCGGTAGAAATGCTTGCTAGTGGCATTGATGAAATATGTACATGTGTGGGCCTCCTAAAAAACAAAACCGGTTCTTTTTCGGCGCACATGTGAAATTGGCTTAGTGTGTACGTACTCGTAAGTATTGTAACAATATGTATGTACAATGTACATACAGGTATCTTCTGCTGCAGCAGGCTCGGTACGCTCGTAGTCACGAGACCCGTAAACGCAACTCATTTGTCGGAGTCAAATATAACAAGTAATACAACCACATAGGTAATCTTTACATCTGCTAGTTTGACTACGACGATCCTTGTTTAGCAGTCGTATTCAACAAGTACCATAGTCTGGGGGTACTATCTTAAGAACTCCCGTTCTGGTTGATATTGTGTTTTCTGTTTTTCTCATCTTGTCCTGCATTTTTTCGCTTTTGGATGGTGTGTTAGTGTGTAGTGTATGCATGGAATTTTAATAAAACGATGCCGGTAAAGCTATTCCGAATATACAAATAGATCTCCAGATGAGTTTAAGGAATAATTCTTCGAAGCTAGCTCCATAACCTCGAATAGATGCGACAGATTCTAGAATTCCTGTCGAATGACAACCGTTCACCCAGGAACGTGCACGAACGTACGTATATGTGCGTATGGAAGGAAGGCCTCTCACTAGTCACTACATCTACTGCGTACGCCGGCACTGTTTGCATAGAATTTTCCGTAGGCAGTTGCAAATGAACATGATAGAGTGCCAGCAAAAATTCTTTGATCTGTTGTAAAAAACTCTGGCATAATTCGACGTGAGACAAAAGGTCAAAACCATATGTTCATGTAAAAGAATACCTGTTCGGTAGCTAATGCCGACGTGACTGCGAATCAGCGCCACGATAACGAAAAAGGTCACAAAACTAAGATACCGGTATTTACAACCAACGCTGTCAACAGTCTCGAGCTCCGGTCTGCTGTGCGAAATCACTGCCTGGAACGAGCAAGTCAGAACCATGTTTTTAATCCAGATATACCATCTAATTCCTACTCTAGCTATAAACTTGGTTCAGGAAATCTGAGCGTTCTGTTAAGGCAATCTGGAAACTTTAACCGCAGCACAGACCGGAAGACGTCCAAGCATTTTGTTATGCATTTTATTACAAAGAGCCATTATACGAGCTTGCATGTCACCACACGCGTCGCATAATTAATAAACGTCTTTGTAATGACGTAAATTTGCGATTGCGACACCAAGAAATACGATATTTACAGGGATAGCTCATGAAGGAATAACTGGAAGACTGTTGAATGAATAAACACGGTGCAAAATATCCATCAACGTCTCATTTTGCAGGTATAGATCATTCAGATAAGTATGTCCAGCAGAAGAACAACTCCCATACAACCGTTACCACGAAAGTCAGCACAAAAAAACAGCCGGTGAATCTGCTGCAGAAAATAATTTCTTGCGTTGATGTGAAATTCCTTTTCAAGTTTGCGAATGAATTTACCGCTGGATATTCCATTTTCTTTTATAATTATTACCTATTTATTTCAGTTGATTGTTTTACTTTTTAATTTGCTTTATTACACCGCTAAGCGGTTTTCGATAAGGCGATTCTAAAACGCTGAGCTTTAGGGAAACATCGTGTGTCTATAGTTGTGGTCAGTGCCCCTTTCTTAGTCGATTTTTGATTTTCTTTTTAGCTTTGGCTAATTTTTCGAGATTCTGCGTAATTATCCAAGTTTTAACAGTCTGCATTAGAATGCATACCGCATTAGTGTGCTCTTATCATTCTGCACAGCTGTACGCTGATTGGGCTATTCCATTAGATAAAATATCAAAGAAGGTCATATTATGTACGGCTTTTTGAGTAGCCACGATCAAGTGACCTTCTGCATTACCCGTGCGTGTTCTTGAATTCGACGAACGACATGCATCTATGTCCGTCGGTGCAAGCCTAGTTGTTTCGCCGCATAGTTCTGGCGGACTCCTACAGCGCGCCGTGCATGCGGATAGATCTGATTGGCATCTGGAAGAAGCGCTGCTTCGGCGTCAACGAGTGCGCCGGATATGACCAAATCTGCATCAACACACCGGGATCGTATCACTACAAATGCAACGACGGCTTCCGTTATTTTCTTTTCTCTCAACGGCACCATTGCATATTCTGTTTATATGAAAAGATACAACTACTGGAAAAATAAACGAATGTCCAAGATAAACTGACCGAATCACGTTATAGTGAATACGAGTCTATTTTCGCCGTGTTCTGTGAGTATGAACAGGTTTAGGAAGTTGAAGGTCGTTGTCCAGTGGCTGGGGGGAGCTCTGAATACCATATCAAGCCTTCTGACACCAAAACTGAGCGCTGATTTTCTTCCGGTATGGATTGTAGTTCTTCATGTACAAGCCGTGTATTTTACAAATAAAGATAACCCGGTTACGGACGGTTCATGCGAGACGGTGCGCCTGACAACAAGAATAAACAAATAAACCATAATCGGTGGTACAAAAGACAACGAAGGTTAATGGGCTATACGAATTATTTAAACGGCACTTCCGGCCTTCGTTCGGGCAGAGATTTCTCATTGCATGCAGTTGTCCACAATTGCGCTGCAGTCGGCGCCCGTCCAGCCAGGCTGGTAAACGTAGATGCCATGATTTGATAAAAACGTCCAGCAATTCAGTATCAAAAATAAAATAATCTAATTCATTATTTTGCTCCAGAGTTTAATGATTACCCAACAGGCGCATTATTAGATCTGGTACTTAATTACAGTTATTATTTGCCAGTTACTGTAGTACAGTCTGTAATTATTATTAATTACCTACTATCATTACTGTTACTTTACCAGTTGTAATTATACTATTAATTTGTGTTATTATTTATTTGTTTCTGTTTATTTCTATTTTGTTTCTTTTTATGTCTGTTAGAAGCAGTACTAATTTTCGGGATAGTTGATGAAGCTCTAGGACAGAAAGTTCAGTCCCAAAACTGAACGGCAGAATAAATTTATCATATAAAACGACAGAATAAATTTATCATATCATACAAAACTGCCTGCGCGAAGCCGATTATTAAAAATGAAATAACATAGAAAAATAAAAGTACAGATCTCAGTTGATATGATTATAAATATAGTTCGTAGTTGTTATTAATGATATAATTCTGGAAGAATGAGAAACCTGTAGCAATAATGAACTATTGCCGCGAAACATTTTCATCATACAATTTTGTGGCTAATAACTGAAATTCAAAACTATCGCGTGTACAAGACAAGTGCGACATTTAATGCTTCGACACCGGCAAATGCAGTAAGGACCGCCGGGGTCAGCCGGTGTGTAGCTGCAGAACGGTCCCGGCCACGGCCCTCGCGATGTAGGCCGGCTCCGATTTGGACTGATGTCCGTGACTTGAGCGCTATGGCTGTGAACTTTAAATATGGTTGATAACTACCGTAGCATAACTTTTCCGGATAAACGAAACAATTTTTGAATGCTAAACGTTTCGGTCTGGAAGATGGCTAGTGCTGCTGACACTAGTACTGGGAAGAGTGCGCTGATGACGAACGGGCAACTGGGGAGCATCGTGCAGTCAAAAGCACGGAGACGGCTGTTACAAATTGCGTCCACTGCGAAAACGACGGCGCTGGCGATCGAGAGCGAGGGAGCGCATGCTACTACGTCCCGTTTTCGTTTGGTCAGCATCAGTAAATAAACAGCAACCAATGCGATAACACCGATTAAAAGGCTGGACGAAGTTTACTTCGGGTTAAATTGGTTGCAGTTTGCGTTCTTTTTTGTAACTTATGGTACCGTAACTAGAGTAACCAAATGAATTTACTTTTCATTAATTGAAACTTAGTTTCGTAGGCTTTAATTATACAAGTCGATGCAGAACGACGCATATTTCTAAACGCCTTTTAAGCGGTTATATCTGGAAAAAATGTCAATATCCTGATTGACGGAAACCGTGGTTGCAAGTATATTCAACGGATGAATGTAGGCAGCCAGCCAGGCTGCAAACTGTTCGTTGTCCTTCGGCGACAAGTTGACAGTCGACCATCCTGCGTCGCCTGTGGTATCGTAAATCTCTATGGTAGCGGCGTTCCTGCTTATAGAATGTCTACCGCCGCAGATGTATAATCGATCTTTGACAACACAAGCAGCATGGCAATATCTGGGCTGACGAAGTGGTTCAATCTTTTCCCACGTTGTACAACCCAGTTTCAAACGAATACAGTCAGCTGTTGCAGTAAAGTCACGTGTTGTGTCGTCGAAAAACCTTCCGCCCATAATGTGTATATGTCCGCTGACCACGGCCATTGCAAATCTAAGGCGCCCTTGTTGCCGAGCTGGTAAGTACTTCCATTCCTTGATCAACGTGTCATACTGGAAGAGGACGCTCTCAGTAGCATAAAATATCTGCTCACGGCATTTGGCTACTGCTTGTTGATTGCGGTAAGGGCTGTAAAACATAAAAAGCTAGAATCGTTTAGTACCAAGACTGCAATGTATGCTGCCCCAACAAAAAGCCATACCGTTTATTTGCAGGTTGAGTTGAAGGTGCAATTTCGCCTGTAAAAATGTTCATTTCTGTAAAGATTCCGGTATCGTCAAAGAAATAAGCCTTGTCCTCTACCGCAGTCGCCCTTGTAAACGGCCATATATCCACACGGAGGACTGGCTCGTGTTGAACCCATGTTCCCTCGTCGACATTCCACAAATGGAATTTCACCTTTTCGAAGTCACCATGACATATCAGTTCCGGATATACAATTTTGTTGCCTGTTACCGCTGACTCACGATACCAATCCCCGTCAAATTTTGGTGCGCCCCGCACCTCTTGAACATTAACAGAGTTAGTCAACGGATCGATTATCATGACGCAGAGATCTTTACATTTCTTGAGTCCAGTAAATACTATGACGTCTTTCTTCGGTAGCTTCTGTTACGAAACTTAGGCAGAGCAAAGTATTACAGGCCAAAGGTCATCCTCATCCGCGTAGTAGTGTGTTTATTAATTATACGACAAAGTAAGAAATAAGGCAGAGCAGAAAAGTAGGAATGAAAGTAATGTGTGTGAGTAGCGTAAAGAAGCGGTATAAATAGGCAAAAGTGCAACAGATGACAAAGTCTAAGTGAGTAAGTATATTAATCATACACAAAAAAGTCCATTACGTAACACTTTCCTCCTTTAAGAGGACTGTCCTCAGTCTATAAACATGCAAAAAGAAGCAGGTCGGCCAGCCGGTATAACTATATGATAAAGTAGGAAATAACATATAATAGAAATGCAATTTAGTGAATGTTAATAAGTTGATAAACGCTTGCACAGTGATATGCTGGTCGTTATTTCAAAAGGCTGATTTTGGATGCGGTTTATCTGCAACAGCTGAGAAGAATTCACCTTCAAGCGGCAGGAATTAGAAAAATTATTTATATTACAGTAAAATCGTATTGTCATCCGATGCGGCAGATACTGCATAAGGTCGTGTATTGGCTATTGCTTATTGTAGCACCGTGCGGCAGTACGATCATGTCGATGCAATCGATGAAACCAATCGACCTTGAGCTGCATACCATTATCACTATTATTACATTACGAGATAGAGACTCATCCTTCTCTCCTGGAAAAGTGTTTAATGCTGGTTTCAAGAAGAAGCTGCCCGACAACATGTACGCTCGGAAATATTGCAACCAAAGCAATACGTTTACGTATTGATTTATGCATTTACTTATTGAAGTACACATTTAATTAACTGGTATTTCGTTTCGTTATCTTCAATAACAGCACAGCGCATGTGTCTTAATTGCACCGCTTTCTTAAAAGTGCCGACGTATTCTGATGTTATCGAACGCGCTTTTGATGGTATGCGCATTTACGTCCGACATTGTACCACCACCGACTGGTCAGAACGTTTGTCCACACCGACGGGTGACGCAACACTCCAGAGCGGTAGCCCTAGGGAGTGCATTGTCCGAACCGCCTAAAGTTGTTGGCGCTAGGGCTATTTAAGACCGTTTGATGTTACTGCGGTGAGGAGAGATTTACTTGTCGGAGTATTAAGCGGCTCAGAGTGGCAGATGTACTGAGTGTGACACGGAATGCGCGGCCGTATTACGAAGACAGAAACATTTTTTTGCCGCTTAATTTGTTGGTTAGAGAAAACGGAGAATGGTCGCAACGAGCATAAAAGTAACCGGGCAGTGTAGAAAACCTAACTGTTAACCAAGTCATTCAACAAACTCATATTAAAAGCTGTATGAAGAGTAGTAAAAGCCATAATTATGCAAGAAGTATTCGCGCCCCTAAACGATAAAAATAATTTCAATAATTCAACTGTAATAATAATTCAACTGCGCCAAAATACGGTTATTAAAAATTTATGGAAACGCATCGACATGACGGACTGTGTACAGTGCGAACATTAACTCTACAGAGGAAAATTAGCACGATTTGACCTTTTCATTAGCAGGTAAATATAATAGGTTGCTTTTGACAAATTCCGATAAATTAAAAGGAGAAGAACTTTTGAATCGATTTCCAAGTAAAGAAAATCATTTTGCATTTTATAAAATGTTGTTTTTTTTTATTATGGATTTCACATTTTTCTTGGAAATTTTGAGGCATTTTAAAAAATTTTTTTAAAATAAGTTTTGAATAGAACGGCTGGCCGGCCGTACAAACAAGCGCTTAGTTTTACGAAGCTCGTGGTCAGCAAATCCAATTATCCGGCAATTCGGCAGTTCCACAGTTTCGCTAATGCCGGGTTTGGGATGGAGTGTACATCTGGAACATACGCCATATGACGGAATTTTCGGTTCCTAGGTGGCATACTGCTACAGAAGCTAGTTTTCAACGGGGACGAGGAAAATAGTATGGAAGCACTGAGTAACGATTCAACTTGAGTCTGCAAAACAAAATATACGCAGTAAACAGGAAAAAAAAGAACTTAAAAGCAATTAGCAAAAAGCAGCCCACATAACCAGCCAACAGAAAACCAGCAAAAACAATTCTGCCAAGCAAGTTTTTACAAACCGTCCAATTGTAAAAATTACAAGGAGTGACTTGCGCTAATTGCAGTGAAAACCATTACATCATAATTAAGTCTCAGTCAGTTTTGAATTCTGAAAAACGGAACAAACCGATTTGACAAGCAATCAAAACCAGTTAAACGGAGTCTAGATTGGCTCTCAGGTACTGACTTTAAGGACATCGGACAATTGTACAACGAATTTTCCGAAAATTTCGACATTTTAGATGGTACAATGGGTCGCAACTTTACCAAATATTTACGTCAGCATTAATTATTTCACCAAAACTTCAGCGAGACTCTGAAAATAGCTTAGCCGTTTCTTTTTGGGTGCCCGTAATTACTTACAGTGGCTTCTACAACACAATATCGTGACGGCAGATTACTATATGCTTTCGCGACAAGCACATAACAATCTTATTAGAAAATATGCGCCGCTTTCATAAGGAACGTCGACTTTCTATATGAAATTAGCCAACAAGACTTAATTACCAAAACACAATTGCGACCAGCGCAAGTCAGTAGTACTAAATCATGTTATTTTCTAATTGCTCTTGGTAAAAGCTATATCGGTTCGCTGACGGCAGCTGTATTTTATAAAATTGTTTTTTTTTCTGTATCATTTTTCAAAATTTTTTTGCTGCCTAACTTTAGCCACTGCCCTTTTCAACTCATCTCAACACGTGTGCACACATATTTTCAGCTGACTTATTTTCTGTTGAGTTACGATTGAAATAAATGTTAACGTTGTACTGTCAGTAAACCGTTATTTACTGCGCAGCATGTATCATTTTGGACTTAAACTTTAACAGGTGTCATCGATGCTGATTTCGTTTTTCATGCTTCGAAAATTAGAACTGAGACATAACTGTAATTTGTCAGTGAAAACTGATATCACCGAAAGGAGTCGACTTGCTCGCTGAACTGTAGGTTTCCTAACCTAACTTGAATAATGAAGACGAGAGCGGTAGCGGTACGCACGAGATATGTTTTTGAGTTTTTCAAGAAAATCATCTGTATCTGTAAGATCGTCGAAATACTGCACCATTTCTGCCTTTAAAGCGTCAGGCAACCCTTGAAACAGGTGCAATAGTACATCCTTATGCGAGCCGTTTGGATTTCGGGTACGCACTACGCGCGTTATTCGATTCACATAAACCAGTGGGTCATCAGCAGCCTGCATTGACATGCACTGGTTATCAATATCGTAATCAATAGCGTTTTTGCCGAATGTCTGCCGTAGCGCTTGGCATGTTTCGTCCCAGGTCTCTTTCCTTTCATGCATTACAAACCACTGTAATGCGCTTCCTTTAAGACAAACATGAATATACTTTACCATTTGATCATGCCATCCATATACCTGCGCTTGCGCATCGAATTCATTGATAAAATCTTCGACATCTTCAGAGGCCAAACCGCTAAACTTCGGCAGATCACGCACTGGAGGCGCGCTCATGGTAGCTGATGCGTATTCGTGTACTTTATCACCTGCATTAGGTGGACCTTTATGATCATATCGGTCGTTATTACTCATTCTGTTGCCGACACTTTTAACGTTTACTGCAAATGGGAGTACTACTTTATTAAATGCTGAACCTTCAAGCTCACTGGTAGAAGCGACTACTAGGTGGAAGTCAATAGCTTGGCATGACAGAACACCTTGAGAAGGCGAAGCAGGTTCGACAGGACTGAAATAGTTTGATGATGCGTCACTGGAGAGCAGGTCATCAAAACTGGCGAAGGGATGATCATTCGAAGTCATACGGCGATCAGTTGAGGACGCTTATTAGTATTTTATCAGTCATACAAATGTTTACCAGGACCAACCCTGATTACTCAAACATGTTACAAAAGCGAACGGAATGTGTTTCTCAGCATGAAAAATGTTCAGCAGTGGGATCATCTTTTATCAGTTGAATTGACTCTCATGAGTCTATTGCGTTTGACCAAACCCAAAATAGTATGGTAATTACTCAGAGCGCTCCCAATCTTATAAGACTGCAAAAACTTTAGGTCATAAAATATAAGCAGAAATGACTCAAGCGGACTGGGTATAATGACTGGGACGACGAGCGACTGTTACCGAACGATGACTTAATCAGCATGTATTACTCAACTGAGTAAAGTGGTTTAGTAAACTACCAGCAAATTTATTGATTTAACGGAAAAATTAAAGAATCAGGAGGAAACGCAGCAGAAAAATTTGTGAAATGAAAGTGAAACATATTGTAGTCTTTTTACATAATCGAAAAATCACAAGGTTACACGCACGAGTTATTCTTTTTTTGTGTGTAAAACTTACAGTTATTCAAGCACATCGAAGAAGAATCAACCAAATTCAGCAGGAGACACAGGTTTATGCGTTGTGTACCGTGCAGATACTGGAAGTATTTGATTTAATCGTACTTAAATAACTTAATCGCTGCCAGATAAGAACGGGTTAAAGTGTGAACTGAATGTTCATGGTAGTTTTCAAGTACAGTACCCAAAGAAAACAGACATGCTTGGGAAAATGTTACAAATCTTATAAAACCGGCACTTATCTTTGTAATCCGAATGCTGTATGGCACGTAGTGCTGGTAATCTTGGTCACTCGTGGTCCATTGGCATGTACAGCTGGATCCCCGGGACTGCAGGAGGTTCAGGCAAAGATCAGCAATCCGGGGTCCAAAGTGGAAGTTGACGGGCTGTTTTCACCACTCAGGTATTTCTCAGTCGGGTTAGGACCAAAATTGTTACGAAACTTAGGCAGAGCAAAGTATTACAGGCCAAAGGTCATCCTCATCCGCGTAGTAGTGTGTTTATTAATTATACGACAAAGTAAGAAATAAGGCAGAGCAGAAAAGTAGGAATGAAAGTAATGTGTGTGAGTAGCGTAAAGAAGCGGTATAAATAGGCAAAAGTGCAACAGATGACAAAGTCTAAATGAGTAAGTATATTAATCATACACAAAAAAGTCCATTACGTAACACTTCTTCAGTAATTCTCCGGCGGATAATCGATTTGCGCTACTTGCATCCACACACTGTCGAATGAGCCTCGCTAAATTGTGCTCAATGTCGTCGCTCACAGATGGGATGTAACCGTCGATTATCAAGCTCGCATACTGGTAATTTGCAAGAGCGCTTCCCGCATCGACGATATTCCCATCCTTTACGAGTTGTTTCTTGGGTACACGTGCATAGCTTTCGGCCATCTCCAAAATGATGCAGCCCAGGCTCCAAATATCTGTTTTTCGTCCTGGGCGCTCTGCTTCTTGTTGGGAGAACTTCCTCAGCATTTCCGGCGACATATAGCGCAGTGTGCCTCGTAGCTGGGAAATGTCTGCAGAGCAGGTGGCGCTTTCTTTCATTTGCACCAGATCGTCTAAATCGCCAATCACCAGTTTCTCGCTGCCATTCTGCGAGACGCTCAGAAGTATATTTTCAGGCTTTAAATCGCCGTGAATGATACCGTTTTGATGGAGAAATTGAAGTCCTTGGGCCAAGTCCTCTGCGAATGGAATCACTTTTCTCCAATTGTTTAAAAGCGTCGTGTTTTCCTTAGCTTCCCTTAAAAACGACGCAAGATCACCTATGATAATAGAAAATAGACAAAATAAACATAAAAACAGAGAATAAATATTATAAGAGCAGAGTGACTTCGACAAAAGCTGCTTAATAATCCCTGTCACCTTTATGATAATCCATTGCCAGCTTCACTGTCACTCCACCGGAAGTTTGTGTGATGGAAACCTTGTGATACCGTACGATATGTTTGTGCTTCAGCCCTGGAAGTTGTCTCATTCTCTTCACAGCGGTCATCCAGTTTTCCTGATCGGCAGCGATTCCAGAATTAATTGCGACATGCATCACTTTGACGGCTACGAAATCTGGCTCGGACGGAGTGCGGAATCGTAAAAGTGCTTTTCTGACTTTGGCTTTGTAAACTATTCCAAACGCTCCCCTCCCAATAAAGTCATCCTTCGCATAGTCGTACTGTATGCTGCTGCCAATTTCTTCGACAGCACCGGAATTGCGGAAGCCTGTGCTTTCCATTTACGTAATTACCGGATTAAATCAACTGATTCCCTCTTAATTCGATGCAGTTTTTGCTGAGACGGCCGCCACGTTTAACTGTTCACATGTCTGGGGATTTGAAACTACGCATAATGTATGGAGTGACAAATTTCTGGTGTCCGGAGCCTTGTAAAACGATAAAACTGAGTGCTGTTGTTACCAAAATTGAAAGCAACTATGCACATTGTTAAGGACGAACTGCACTAGGATGAACACGGCTTAGTTTAGCATTCACTCGTTTTCACTGCGTTTTGGGTTTGCACTCGCTTTGCGGTAGAGAGTGCTTGCGATTGTTGAGCTGTACACCGCGCCGATGATACTGATAGCGCGAACTGATAAGATAAGGTCAATGTGATGAATTTTACCGCTGGTACTAAGTAATACTGCTGCTTCTGTAGTGATAGCGGGAAAAGTTTGAATCATCTTATCAGTGCAACGGTGCAACCCGAACTTGAGAGGTGTGCACTGTGTATAGTACTGCAATGTTTTGCGTTTTCTCCAATCGATGCATTGCTGCCAGATCCTGTGTTCATTGGTCCGGTATTACTCGAGAGTTTTGACCGATTCTACTTATTCCTGAGAAACCAAAATATTCCTGAGAAACCAAAATTTCTAAGGAAAAACTCAGAGAATGCTTTTAAGAAACCTTCTTCGACGAACACAGCCGCAAAGGAAATGGCACGGTACACGGTGCCAGTTTGTAGAGGCACATCGTCAAACCTTTTCCTTGCGCGAACTCTGAAATACTTTCTTGTAATCTCGATTTCATTCAGAGGCCAAGTGATTTGTTCACATCGGCCGGAAATCGCTTGCGCGCGCAGCATCTCCTTGTCGAGATGTCTGGACTGGACTGGACGGGACACAGAGCAATTAAACTAGACAAATGTTCGCGAAGTTGAGAGTCATGCAAAGTCAAATGACCACTGCCCAATGGCCGCGTTTAACTTAATTGACAAGCAAATCAGTTAATTATGCAACCGTCCGGTTTTTATCCATATGGCCGGTAAAACCGAAAAACGTATTGGCAGTCCAGTTTGCATCCAGTGTTCGGTTTTTGTAGTACACTTCCAGTGTGTTCAGCAATGCAAAATCAAATTGCCGCAAATCGACATGTTCTCAGCGGGCCAGCGCTGTGGGATCCCATCGGGATGAGCGTTGTACAGACTGCAACAAAAACAACATTTGTGTTGTGAAAAAAAATACGTTGTATTGGTTGTACAGTCACTACAGTGTACATGTCAAACGCCCATCTCCAGGAAGCGTCGTTTAATCCCGGCCCGGCTGGCCGGGATATGCCAACGTTCACATCTTTCCACACTCACGACGCAGCCGTCGGACAGCTGTGTAAGCGGTGGCGCTGAAGCGACGGCACTGGACTGCGCATAAAAGAAGCGCACGAGCGGATAGCCACGACAAAACGCACGACGTCGTCACCTTGCACGTCTGTTGTCATCTTGGTCACCCATACGGCATTGGAATGCCAGTTGCGCTCGCGCCACAGTGAATCGACATCGGTCGACCCGGCACTGAATAACGCAGGAGCAGCAGCTATTTACGCGCCGACATCCAGTGCTAGAGGTAGCATTTTCGAGTATAACGCGCGGTCTCTGAAGATCCACGAATGTTGACCCGGGCGAGTTAGCTGCGTTATGGCCGTTCTATGGCGACAAGCGGCTGCTGCTGACGAAGCCCGTAGTGTATCTGCCGCACTATTCGCAATCGGAAGCGCCGGTTGCGCCGTTGCGGTACATTCTCTCGCTCACCAGCAGGCATACAAAGGGAAACGGTGCGCTTTAGCAACGTCTGGAGTCTTTCTTTAGGCGCTAAATTCAGCCGAAACAATATCCCACGACGCGTGGACACACAGTGAACGTATGGTAAAGCTATATGTGTAAAACCATGAATTAATTAATCCGCAATGAAAAGGTCAAGTAGCAGGTCTTATTGGCTTTGTTCCTGCAAGCAAAAAAACTAATAATCTCTGACTGAACTGTGATGTACTCAACAGCCAGACAAAAAGTTCAGCATTGAACGCTTCATTCAGTACAGTGCATCCTACGGAAAAAATTTCGGTGAAGTGTCCGGGGTCAGATATGTCTGACTTCAGAAACAACCAAAGACTGCAGATGTAGAAGTACGTGACAGTACTACTACTGCAACAAGTAACTTTAATAGGGCGAACTGACAATTGCTGGCCAGCAGTATAGCTAAACTAAGAATAGGACTTTAATAAGAACTACCATAGCAAATAGCTACGACTTTCAACACGTTTTGATACACAGCTCTCCAGTGTCCGGTGGCCAACAAAGGCAAGGTGATTTTTTTTTTAAAATTTTGACTTTTTATAAACCTTTATTGAGCCGCTATAACCAATAAGCACATTGGGAATTTATGTGAAAGCATAGTTCGGTCATTAACGGTTGAATAAGGTGTTATCATCCGGCAGGACAGCTTTCCGGGCAGCGGAAGGCAGCATATAAGTAGTCCAGAATTATTCGGTTGGCATCCACCTCTTCCGGAGTGCATTTAGCTTTTGCCTTTGGCATGTAGCATTGCTCGTAGCTCTTTATATAACTGCGGTAAAATACAAGAACGATAATTATGGATAGTTTTCGGATGTCAGTATGATTGGTAACTCCACCATGCGATAGTTTCAACTTATTTATGTAGGCAAGCTGCCTTCGACGCCATCTTACTAAGTAAAATAACATATCAGTATCTGAAAGATCTTTGGGATATTTCTATATGATCGTGCGCCCTTTTCTGTTAACACACTCAGTCTTATTCCCTCTTTGTTTTCACGAACTCACCAGCACGAGTCATGCACAAGCTTGTCTCGAAGAAGGAACGTCATTGGTGGAGTAGTTTCGATATCTTTTGGTAGGACGCGATCCAAAATTTGGCCCGTGCAACGCTTATGATCTCGTACCATTTTAAAGATGCAGGACGTGAATCGTACCGCAAGAGTTATCGCATCCGGACGCAGGATGATTTTCTTGATTCCAAACTGCCCTGTGCAGCAAGGTGCGCGTCCGTGTAATTCACCGGCACGCAACGCTCGACGATCCGGCGAAGTTGTCCCGCATGCGGATGAAGGGTCTAAGTTTTGAAAGTCAGTGAAAATCAGATTTTCATAAAACGGTTACGATGTTACAATTACTGATTTTAGTAACTCGCTTAGCACCCAACACCGTACTTCGCATGGGGCCTTTAGTTTTCCCCTCATGCAGTACGGGAAACCATTGAAGGGCACGCAAGACGCACTTAAAACTGATAAACTGACATCCGTTCAACAACTTCAGCTGCAGTGGAAATCCGTTTTTTAACGTGTATTAATTTAATTTCAATTCGGTGTATTTTTAATTGCAAGTTTAGCAGTGTAATTGTTATCCGGTTTCTTGAGAAATTATCCAATTAATGCACTTTAGTATTTTATAATTACTTTATTTGGAGAAATATATAAATTTTTGGTTTATTCCTTGATTTTATTTCCCTGTTAATTTACGAACGCGCCCGGAATCTCCGGGCATATCGAAGTGACCTTAATCCAGTTTTTGTGTTTCCCAAAATATTAGATTTTAATCATATATATCTGAAAATATTTTTTATTCATGAATGTCGATTAAGTTTGATTTTAACTGTATTTTCTTTCCACCTTAAACGTTATGTTTTTTTCCACAAACTAAATTTTATTTATTCGCGAATTTATTTGTTTTCCCATCTGCCCATTGCCCAGCAACACCCGAGAATCACAGCCATAATGCCATTCACACCAATAGCACGCCAAAGAAAACTAAAGACTAACGAGCGTCCAAACCAAACACACACCGGAACCAAATAATACCGCCTGAAAAATCATGCATCTTTTTCGGCAATAAACAGTCCCCAGGCCTGATCGCCGGCATGACAGCGGCCCACCTTGGCGTTCCATCCGCTGACGATCTGCTCGTAGTCCTCGCGGGAGAACTGCTCCACAAACTCCGCCTCCAACGGCTCGAATTTGCGCAGTTCATTGTGCAGCACACTGATGAACTGCTGCGTCCGGTCGTCGGCTTTCACGTGCACGAAACCCACTTCCTCCAGCAACTACACGCAAAAGAGTTAAGGTTATCGACAACTTCTCCGTGCAAAGACGCGCTGATGTTACGCTATACAATTAGTTACCAATTTAGCAGTAAAATTAATTATATAAAATATGAAATTAATATTAACGTCCAGTAAAATACTGTGAAATAAACCGAGCCGAATTCAATAACTAATTAGTTAAATTTAAACAGAACTATTCATTAAATTGTTTTCATTATAAGTGTTAAAACTAGTGAAAAGAATGGTTAACTGAATAAATATGCTAAATTTAACTACTGCTGTATATAAATTACAAAACACAATCAATAAAACTAAACTAAAGCCGCAAAAGTTAAACAAAAATTCCGCATAATTATTCAGAATAAAATAAAGGTCACTTCTATGCGCCAGGGATTTTCCGGCGCATAGCGCTTTCGTAAAATACAAGTACAAAAACAAAAAGTATGATACATAAATCGGTAGAGCAGATATATATAAGCAGCAGGATCGGCTCTATCAGCCAACTTTTTAAAAATTAGAATTAATAATTCTATTAATAAATAGAAAATCGAATTAAAAAAATGAATTTCCAGCGTGGGAAAAATAATTTCGATAATTCGGAAAGAAAAATCGTGATTGGCTGGCTGCGGATAAGCCCCGCCCCCCAAGCACAACAATAGAATATTAAAATTCAAAATTCAAAATTACGTAATTGGCCTAGTGGCTAACGTACCCCGGCACCACTGGTACCGGGTGCAAACATTCCACTCTTGCTCTTCTTCAGTTTCCAGATCACCGTATTTCAAAACAGCATTTTCTATTTTCGACCTGTATCCTTGAAATTAACACTTGTGACCATGGTTAAATTTCAATGTAAACAGTGTGGAAAAATTATTGCACGTAGAGATGATATGCAACGCCATATCAAAGAAGTTCATAGTAACAAGAACCGCGTGACCTGTGAGAACTGCCGCACCGAAATGCTTCAGCGAGCACTTCCACGCCATCAGCGCAGTAACTGTCCACCAAAAAGAAAACCGCGGGAGCCCCGCCTGAAAGCCGTTGTTCCTACGGGGAAGCGTAAGCCTACGAACCCCACGGCGGTTACACCAGCGACAGCAGCTCAACCTGCATGGAATTCTACAATGCCGCCGTCAACTGGATCAAGTGCGCCACCGGTTTCGCAGGGAAAAGCTGTGTTAGTTTCGCGTGCTATTGATGTGAAAAATGTTAACCAGTTGAAATGTGAACGCTGTGGAAAATTTGTGGGATTTATAGAAAAGTCAGTCTCGGTTATTTCTACTGAATGCCATGATTGTCGGCTTGAAGCCGTACATTTGTTGTTCGCACTCAGTGGCGGGAATTGACTGTGAACCAATTAGAATAAAATTAAAAATGTCGTAGGTGTGTGCTTGCATTCGCTTACCCAATGCCATGAGGTAAAAGTAGAGCAAATGTTAAACAATGAAAAAAAATCGTGCCCGGTGCACGACTTTTTTGTTACAGCTCGGTCACAAATTAACTGGCACAGTATTTATCCTTAAATTTTGTCCATACTGCGTTTTTGTTTACCGCTGTTCTTCGCGTTTTTCCTTTGAAATTTCATCAAAATACTTATTGAACTAAAGAAATTGGAAACCTAAGAAAGCCTAAGAAAACCTAAATAAGTCGCACGACGGCAACATGGATCCCTTTATACCGCAGGACGACTTTGAACGCCGCGTCATAGAGCTGCTATATTTCCGACGGGACGAGCTTATGCAGCTCGAATATTTTCAGTTGGATTTGCAGGAGCAGCTCAACGCTGCGCATGCTGCGCCTGCTGCTATGCAGAATGTGGAGCAAGCGGCCGCGCCGGTCAATGCGGCCGGCGGCGGTGGTGGGGCTGCTGTGGAGGACTGGGGGCCGGAATGGCCACCCGTTGTTGTGGAGGAAGTGCCGATGAATGGGGACGCTGGGGGATGGGGAGCAAATGATGGCCAGCCGGCTCCGGCGGGTGGATGGTGGGATGCCCCCGAGGGCGAAGACGGGATGCCAGAGCAGGCGGAAGAAGAAGAACCGGCCGCCGAAAGTGACGCCGATTCGGGCTTGGGCAGTGACGGGGAGGACGCGATGGACACCGAGGAAGACGAAGAAAACTAACGTAAGACCTTTTTGTTATTCAATCATAATTTTTCAATAATAGTGCTGGGAAAATCATTTTGTGTGACCGAAATTAAAATGGAAATGAATGGGAATTTTGCAAAATTTTCACGGTAGAATTTGCAGTCTTCATGCGCACGCGATGCTGAGAAAAAATGCAATAACAGTCAGGCAGTCACTAATCGTAGGTTTTTTTTGTAGGGAAGGATGGCGGAGGACATTCGTTTTTTCTTTCAGTTTTGAATTTTTATCTCTTATTGTGACTTTGTCTGAATGAATTATCCCACCACCAAACTACGCAAGTTGTTGTTGATCATAGTGTTATTTGATTAATGCTGCTATGGAAAGCTATTTCTTTTCGGATGCTTTTTATGAAATTCGCGATGTGTATACGACGTTTATTTTTTTAAATTTTTTCTGCGCGGATTAAGAGAAAATAAAAATTCCAGCGAGTAGAAAGAAACTCACATGAGCAGGCGGTTACTTTCACGAACATTCCACTTCCGGTGAGAAATCATTTTCATTTGAATTTGAGTTTGTACATTTGGTCATCTACGTCATATTAATTCTCAATGGATTTCGTGTGAGCATTCCCAACGCCACCATGGGATACTAATGCGAATGGCACTTGTGTGATGTATGCCCAATCAGGGAGAGTTTCGCTAACAGGTTTCCTCACATTATCGTATGCAGATCGTTCCAGGCGAGCGGAGAAACGACTGAAAGACGATGTGCTGCCGTGTGTTTTTAAAGGTATTCCCGATGCCATGGGTCCGCAGACAGATGCTGTGCAAGCAAGCAGACAGCCCAAAAATATCCTCTCAGTAAGTTTGAGTATTTTATTTTATTATTAATGCCTCCTAACGTTCGGGACTGTTTTTATTAGTTTAATTGTGTTACTGTTGTCAGTTGCAGTGAGATCTTATTTAGAAAGCTGAACGGTGCATTTTGCTATCCAGCATAATTTTCCCTTCCCTGAACCATTTATTTGGTAAGCGTAAGATGTCAATGGCCCGAAAAATGTCACAGTTTAATGATTTTAGTTGTATTAAAACCATTACGCTCGCTTGAGAGTTAGCTACAAAAAATGGTTTTCTCAATTTTTTAATTACCGAAATGTTAATATTTTCTGTAATTATTTTGTATTACAATTCGAAATTTAGTGTACGTACAATACATGATGTTGATTCGCTAATAAATAAATGTGCTCTATTATAGGTTAGCTCCGCAAATACCCGTTCCGAGAAGAAATCCAGTCATATCTACCTATCCCCCCATTTATCCTCATCAGTTTATTATCCATAGTTCCTGTCGTACGAAGCCTTACACGAAGCCTTCCTGTCGTGCGAATCCTTAGTCGTACGAAGTCGTACGAAGCCTTTCCGTCTTCCGATTAACGCACTACACTTTTCCACAGTTTCCTTGATTTTTTTACGAGATCCAATAGTTGAGTTGGTCATATCCAGAACGACCGCGATGCAACTGTCCTCTACTACTCCTTCAGTCCCTTCCGTTTCGCAACACGTTGTACTAGCTGGAGATAATTTACTGGAAATTAATACGTTCGATCCCAATACCCTAAGCGTGCAAGATTATATCAATGAGCAAGTTAAACTGTCTGATACGCAATGAAAGGAAGATGCGTTTTATATCGTCAATCTGGGAGATGTCGTCAGCAAGCACCGTATCTGGAAAGAAAAGCTGTCCCGTGTTGAACCGTTCTATGCTGTAAAATGCAATGATGACATCGGAGTATTGCAAACTTTGGCCAGCTTCCGAACCAGATTCGATTGTGCCAGCAAAAATGAAATCAACAAAGAGCTGTCGCTGGGCGTTCATCCCAACGGGATCATAATTGCTCACCCGTGCAAGACATCCTCGCACATCAAGTTTGCGGCTGAACACGTCAACACGATACCCGCATGACCACTTTTGACAACGAGCCCGAACTGCACGAGCCCAAACGATCAAACGTCTCCATCCTGGATGCAAGCTGCTGGTCCGTATTCGTACCGATGGCCCGCTGGCTGTGTGCAATCTGGGGATCAAGTTCGGAGCCAGACTGCAGGAAGCCAAGCGCTTACTGGGTGTAACCAAGGATCTGGAATTTAGTGTAATCGGGGTCAGCTTCCATGTCGGCAGTGGATGCACCAACGTGGATGCCTACGCCAAGGCCATTATGTGGGTTTGCGAATTGTTCGATCACACTAAGGAAACTGGAACGCCATTGACGATGCTGGATCTGGGTGGTGGATATCACGGACAAGTTGGGGCTCCTACTAATTTTGATGAGGTATGTGCCGAATTTTTGATATTACAGGTTTTCTTGGCATATTGGTCGATGAGTCATCCTCTAACACATACTCGTACACTGTGTAGAAGCACTTCATGTCTTGGCTTTTAAATACAGTGTATGAGCTTTTTTTCGGCGGGTTAAGCTAACTCTACCTGGAAAAAAATCGTTTTTCGGTTTGCGTATTTTGTGAAACTTCCGAAAGTTTACGATTTTTACGGTGCTGAGATGCGATTTATCGACTTTTCGTTACCAGATGTTGCTCTTAGCCCGTTAAGGGGTGGGAATATTGTGTTTGCGTTTAACAGTCTTGAGAATGCCCCCACATGCGGGCTTGAAAGACTGGGAAGACCGCCTGCATTTCCGTATTGTCGGCACTTTGTGAATTGTCGGGTCATGTGCCCTGATCAATTTTATGCCTATCCGACAACACCGCGCGAGCGGAAATTGTCGCGATGCGGTTTATTTATGCGTATTTTGATTTGCAGATTGATGAACAAGTAAACCCTGCCCTGAACAAATACTATCCGTCTGAATTGGGAATTCGCATCATTGCCGAACACAGACGTTACATGGTCGTTTCCGCATTTACGTTGGCTGTCAACATTATCGCTAGGCGTGTGGTGGATGCGCAACCGGTATGATTAATTCCTGTACAAGAAAAGTATTATAAGTCGATAGATTATTACGTTAATCTCCCTTTACAGAAATCGGACGAGAAACCACCAAGTTTATGTATTACATCAATTACGGCGTCTATGGCTGTTTCAACCGCTGTTCTACGTGCTATCAGAGATGTTCAATTCCAGCATTATGGGGATATACGTGCGACGGAATCGACTGCATTGTCAAATCCTGCTGGTCGCCCGAGATGTCAATGGGATAATGGCTGATCTTTGAGGATATGGCGCTTTCACCTGTGATGCCTCATCGACATTCAACGGTGTGCCGCGCCCATCCATGATTACATCGTGTGTCCATGAAACTGATTTCGCGCTGTTCCACAATCATCCTCAGCCGGTCATGGAAGAGATTCAGGAAATTACTGCGGACATGGGAGAGTGCCGAAAAGTCTGTCGCGTACAACCACTGACTTTCGGCGAGGGTGTTAGCATGGAAGAACAGATTCTGGAAGATGTGGCCATTCAGTTGCGCTGCCCAACGGGTGGACTATTACGAAGTGCCCTAGCTGCTGAAAGTGGTGTTAATATATATCGGCAATTTATGCAGGGATTATCGACAGCCAGTTTCGTATACGTTCTTTACTACTTTATTGTTGTAAGACAATTTTTTCTCAGCGTCTGTATTTCGTTTTGCTAGTCTTTTGCATCAACATGTCTAATGATAATCAGAGCATGTGTTTCTTGAGCGGTAGGATGTGAGCGTCTGATCTGCAACGATTATCTATAATCTATGCCGAAATAACTTAAGCCGACTACTGTAGTGCACCACAACTGTAAATGCTTAATAAAAAATGGAATAGACGTAGTGAGCTATTGTGGAAAGCGCCGCATTCGGCACGTAAATATTGTATTAAAAACTTAAAAATTCCTTATTGGCTTAGTGGCTAAGCGACACATTTTGTACTCGTTTACATGCATATAAAGAAGATGCGGCAGCAAAATTCAACATTCGATCTCACTTGCTTGGTTTTGCGTAATAGCTGCAAATCTTTTGTTTTGGACTTTCACAATTATTGCTGTATTGTGTTACCATGGATAATAACACCGACCATCCCGCTCCTGCCGCTCATTTTCAGGATGCCACCGCCCAAGTCGAGGCATACCTGCAGACCTTGGCGCCGACGACGTCCACGTTGTATTTTGATCATTTTAAGATGTTGGAAATCCCAGCAACGCCATTGCTCGCCCAGTTCACCAACATCCAGTGAGTTTTAGTTGCATTATTAATTTTGAAATATTCAAATAATTCGGCAAAAATTTTAAAATTGATAAAAATACGTAAGTAAATGAAAAGCAAATTTATAGATCCATCACTGCGGCCAAGTGTGGCCTTACATCGCTCGCCAATCTCCCCAGTAAAGCGACATTGCAGTCGCTGTACTTGGAGGGCAACGCTCTTTCCGGATCGGCCTTGGAGGCCCTCCGTGACTGTCACTCCCTCCGGCAGCTCCACCTTCCGGACAACCTGTTTGACTCGGCGGATGACTTCCGACCGATCCGAAACCTGCCTTTGGATGTACTGGATGTCGGATACAACCCGATCACCCGCAGTTCGTCCTGTCAGGAAGCACTGGAGCTGCTGTTTCCCAACACCGACATCCAAGTGACCGGACACCTCGTCCAGGAGGATTCCAGCAGCGATGAGGAATCGGAATTATATGTTTCCGATACTGGTAATTATTTTTATTAATGTTCTTAATTACTATCTAACCGTCTTGCGTTCCTTTTTATTTATCAATTATATTTTTTTACTAGAATTCGAAGAAGAATCCACCAAGGATTCTGAAGAAATGGCAGCCGCCGTCAAGGCGCTGGAAGAAGGTAAACTTGATTTTTAAGCTGAATTATTTTTAATTTGCTTTTAATTCTTTTTATTCGTAGATCCGGATTGGGAAATGGATCATGTGAGCAACTCGTGCTCCGAGGATTCTGCGGATTTGGAAATGTAATTTGTTTGTTGTTTTTCCGCTACTTGTGTTATTTTTCTAGCATTGTTGAATGAAATTAATAAAAATCAGTCGACTGCGGTCTCAATTAACGTTTGACGGATTATTAAGTGCTCGCACATACGTTAGTTCAGTTTACTTTTACAAGTATTTGCATACACATACAAACTTAACGTTACCACAGCAACGCTCCGTAGCTACTTTACCCATCTAGTTGCTAGTCTACCCAGCCAGTTGCTAGCGTATACGATTTATTACAACCTGCAAAATCAGTTGCTGACTTACACCACTGGAACTCGATCTCATGTAAATTATTTGTAGTTATCTGCTATTACAAACTTGTAATATTTGACTTACACGATTTATTTGTTTGTACTAATCTCTAAAATGTCCGAGTACCTTTCTCCAATGGATTGGGAGGCCTGGGGCCGTAATTTTAATGAAAGTGTAGCGTCCTTTAACGCTGAATTCGATATCGTGGATGAGATCCTGCGGGAAGCTGGTGTGGTTCCCGAAGTGCGCGAGGGATTTGTCGATCCGGATACACAGAAAGAGCAGTTCCTGCCTCGTTACGAGGCCATCTCCCCGCCGCCGCTCGAACCGGATCCTGTTCCCGTTCTTATCCATGTGCCGGAACCCAGCAATACTACCCTGTTTCAACCGCCATGCCAACTGGTGCCAGCGTTCGACCCAGCGCCTCCGATGAACCCATCCCCACTTTCGCTCGGTGAACAAGCATCGCTGCACGAGTTCCTCCAAGTCCGACCTGGCGGCTTGGTTTCGATGTTCGCCAACGTGGACACTGTGACTTTGGCGCAAGCCGAGCGTTGACGATCAACATCACCCGTGAGAATGGCATCCCGCAGTTCGCGACCTTGCATACCAGCCGTGGGAAGGAGAGGGCCGGCTGTGCCACCACCATGGGCGAGCTGCGTGCAGTGCTGCGCTTTCTCCTCTCCGCCGAGTGCGAAGCCCTGAGCCGCAGTCCGTCGCCACCTGTCCAGAGGAAAGAGCTAGCCAGCCCGTCGTTTCGAAAAGAGTTCTCTCTCACCCTGCACGCCGCCTGGATCTCTGGCAAGCACCTGCAGCTGCGGATTTCGCGCGTGGGCGACAACCATCGCAGCGTAGCCACTCCCAAGATCAGCCAGACTACCCTCCAGCGCCTCCGGGGCAAGAACTGGTACGAGCTCCTCCCGCAGCTCTTCCCGGGGTTCTCCCATGGGATCAAACGTAAGGTCACAAGTTCATTCAAGTTCAGTTCATTGTTCAACAAGTTCAGTTCAACGTTCATAAAGTTCAATGTTCATTAAAGTTCAATGTTCATCAAAATTCATTTCCGTTCAGTTCGATGTTCATATTTTCCCGTTCAATGTTCACTGAATCTAATTTTTTTATGGTAAAATGTATTTGTTATATTGGCTACAACGGCAAGAACTAACTAAATTATTTCTTCATTTTTTTAGCGCTGCCGCAGGAGTTTTGGAACGACTTCCGGGCTTACCTGGCTATAGAAGCCGTCCATGCTGCGCGCTCGAAGGACATGGTTGGACCGACGGAAGACCAATTGTTTTCCATGTTAACCGAACTGCATGCTACCAGTTTTTACAGCATTTTAATTGAACTGATGCCTGTGTATTCTGATTGTTCTTTTACATGCTTTGCAAGCATTGAATACGTGCGTCAGCAGTGTCAGGTGTTAAACTTTCCTGTCAACTATTGTGTAGCCTAGCCACTGCGTAGGTTAGCAACAGCAGTGCGTACGTTAGCTCCTATCAGTATTTCAGTTTTTGCTCACTTGTTCTGAATAAAATTCAGTTAGCGTGTTCTTTGTTCTGAAAGTGTTGCAAATAAATTTTAAAAATGGATTACACATTATCAGATATTGATATGGCTGACTTGATAGCGGATGGTGATTGGGATGATGATGATGGTAATATGCAGTTAGATGATGATACTTTGCGTGATGCCGCGTTATTAGCAGCAGCAGATGACTGGGAGTATGAAGATTCCGTGCCCCAGTGCGGTGGTAGTGCGAGCATAGCTGATAGTGTTGACGTTCGGTGCATCGGTCGTAAATATTCTCGAAAGTTTCGTGTTCATCTTAACACTTTTGATATTCAAGTTTCCGAGTTAAAGGATATTCCACACAGTGATATTCCGCAAACTATTTGGTGTATTCTTGAGTACATTTTGTCTGTTGTTTTAACTGGTGTAAGCGACCATGACGCGGTACGCCTACGTGTAGATTCTCGTCATTTTAATCGCCCTTTGTACACGTCCTTGACGCTACGGTCTGAACTCAGTGTAAAACGTTGGATGGCTGATATTCAGCGCGTTTTGAATAGTCAT